ATGCCATGTTTTAATATTGTTACTTTCTTATTGTATTGCCATTGTATTTTTGTTTCTTTTAGAAAGTCCTTTGTGTTCTGTGCTTGGCAAGTGCTTTTGTTATGAATTATATTTTAACCACTGCTGCCTGAACACCAAAAACTGAATAGCCTCAACACAAATAATAGCATACAATTTAGACCTGAGCCCAAATGCAGTTTAACGGTACAAAAAGCTATTTCAGACATGTTGCTTTCTCCACTGTGAGCTACGGCTAGGAAGTATCATGTATTTTATCAAAATGTAGCATTGTGTTTGAAGAGACAATGCTAGCAGAGTAGAAAAAAATATCCTGCCCATTCATTGCTTTGACCCGGCTTCCTAGTCATTCTTATCCAACTTCTTGGGTAACAATTCTCAACGCATTTGAAACCACTGCTCCAAGCCAAAGTTGAAACACAAACCTTGAACCTTTGCAGGCAACTCAAGCTAGCAAGCAAGTCAACTTCAGCAACAAAATATCTTACAATTTAACATTAGTCAACCGTTTAATACTAGTTGAGAAGAAAATGTTAATCTGTAAACCTAATAAAAACTACCACAGTTACCAGCCAGCAGTGACAAATACATACCTTTGGAGGATAATGCAACTTACATTATTGAGAGTTCCAATCAGTTAATTAATCTTAACCTGTGCTACCATGTGAAGTGACTTGGGGGTGTGTACACAATGCTTCCACAACATTACCAAGCAACCGTAACATAACGTTACCTTTTCCAGGACAACATAAGATTTTCCAGGACATTTCGGAATCGACAACTCTTTTCAAGGTTTTCCAGGACGCATGGGAACCCTGAGTATGAATCTTTTCATCTAACACTTGGCTAGAGCAAATAAACGTATTTCCAAAAACTTTTCCTTGGCCAGGTACTAAAGATTTCAGGCTTTCAGAATTTCATAGCTTTTCAGCTGTTCAGAGCAAGTATTAAAGCAGGACACAAAGTTGCTCAAGCGACCGTGAGAGCTCCTTTAAGTTATGACAAATAACAAGGTACTCCAAGATGTGCCTTTAAAAGGTGATAAATGAAATGTTAAAATGCATCTTACACTGCACTGGGAGTCAGCACTGTGAAGCTAACACAGCGATAATATGCCGTTTCTTCTTAGTTGCCTGTACACTATACACTATCTGGCTCAGTCAGGGGTATAGGGGTTTTGGATCAATACCGAAAACCCCACAATGAGTTCAGTGACTTCTTTACACTGCACTGCACGTGTTTATGCAGTGACAGTGTCTCATGGGTCCTTCTATATGTGAAGTGTATGTTTCAGGGCTTTAAATGTAATCCAGAAATTCTCAATCACAAGGCCATAAAGTAGGCTAGCTGCCTCTCTGATTACCCTCTTTATTCATTTAATCTGGGTTAACAAATCCAGCCATCGATCCTTATGCTACTTAGTGCCTGAATGGTCCCTGGGGAAATTGATAAGCCATATAGAGAATGGTAAGCTAATAAAGCATTGAGCTTCACAAATGGCCGTGGCTTAGATCCCTTCGTTGTTAGGGTATTACACAATGTACTAATTATAGCTGCTGGCCACATACACCATACATGTAATAGGGCCTACGCATTTCTTTGATTTTAAATGCGTGATCTCAGTCCTAGTAAACACTGTTTCTAGACACGTACTACTATTCACCCACTACACAGGCAGTCACAGGATAGCTTTATGCTTTTGTTGATTGTCTGAAATTCCCTCTTCACCTCTGCGCACAGACAATGCATTTTTCAGCTTGTGTTGCTGCCTAAGTTAATTTATTTTCCTCTGAATTATGAGCTGCCACCATCACAGCCCCAGATCGAAAATACCCAGAAATGCAGACAATACCACAGTGTAATCCACACTCGCTCTGAGCCCCTAAATCACTGCCTTTTAAAATGAAAGCCTGCAGGATGTAGACTTTTGGCTGTTAAAAAAAACAGAAATCCTGGTACTGCCTACTGACCGAACAAACACCAGTTTAAAGTGAAGTGGGGTTGCAGCTCCCTCCAGTGTAAAGTGATGGACAGCAGTGAAATGATTACCTAATAAAATCTGCCTGGGGCCACAGCATCAACAGAAATGCCCAGTGCAGCTCTAAAACAAATCAGCAGGATAAACATTCTACAGTAATAATATTTTATGTTTTGGCACTAAGTACTTTTCTGCTAGATTCAGTTTGGAGTCATAGCTCTAAAACAGAGTACTTCAGCAATATTTTCTTCTTTGAGAAGTCTATTCTGATTTAAGCTTTTATTTAGTTTTTTCCATGCTGGATTATGTCCTTCTGTCCAAGTGATCTGACCTGTTGACTCACATCAGAGGGTTTGGGATTTTGATAAGTTCCTCTGATTGGAAAACAAGGAGGCCCTACGGCTACAATGGCTGACTGGAGACTGAGAAACTGTGTGTGCAATTCAATTTACCACACTGATTTCATTCACTGCTGCCAAGGTTAGTCTGTAAACCCATAATAAAGCGACCGCGTCAGTGGCCTTGTGTTTACCTGTCTGCACAGACTGGGACCAAAGTTATTATAGTTTAGGATTTTTCATTAGTTTTTTATTTTTATTTCATTTTGACTTTTTGTATTCAATTTCAGTTTAGTTTCAATTGGTTTTTAATGTGAATTTGTGACTTTTTTAAAGCTATCTGAAGCTTGTAGGGGCCAAAACACTAAGCATATATGTATATATATATATATATATATATACACACACACACACACACACACACACACACACACACACACACACACACATACATTTGAAGTACTAACACATTGTCTAAATAAATGCTACAAATCTATGAAGCACATGCTACTTCGACAGTATAATTTAAAACCTACATACAGAAAACCCTAAGAGCTAACTACCCTAATCCTACTACCCTGTGGTCCCAAGAAATTCATTACATCAGTCTCTAGCTCTATCATTCTTGGTTAAATAGGTGAAATACAATAAATGTGGGTTATGGACAGCTAAGAAATTGGAAGATAGTGGAGGGCCCCTTTGGAGCCACAAACAACAGGTCCCTAGCACACTGAAGGTAAGTATGACTGGAAAGCAGTTAGGCTATATTAAAATGTAAACCTATATTAATCAATAAATACATTCTATGTTAAAAGCACAAAGAGACAGGTTGGCTGAGATATGAATGAGCCCATAAAACACACACTGGCTGACATGCAGTAAATATAATGACCAGCAGACTGTTAACTCAGTACAAAGGGAGCTCACAATCAACCTACCACTACCTGGCAAAGTTAGCCTCCCCATAACGTTACACGGGGTTCTCGTCGTAACAGCGGTTGCCAGCTGCTACGCTGCGGCCAGACGCCGCCCTGACCCCGCACCTCTAAACTGCCGGTCCGGCAAGAGCAACTGCCCCGCAACGTCAGTTCCCCCGGCTTCATATCCACTCGAAATGTTGGCTTCGGTCCTATGAAATAAATAAATAGACGAAAACTAAGGACTTTTGCTCTTTCATTTTAGTTACTTTCAGTTAGTTTTGCAAACTTACAATATAGTTTTAGTTAGTTATCGTTTTTTGTAAAGCCTCGTTTTTATTTTTATTTCAGTTAACGACAATGTTTTTTCACATCTAGTTTTCCATATTTCGTTCGTCTTCGTTTACGATAATAACCTTGACTGGGACACTTTGTTTTATTATTATTCACAACAGAAAGATTAAAAATATCCATGTTGGTGGAAGGTTATGAATTTAACAAAATGTCATGTATGTTTTTACTAAGAGGCTGATTGTGCGAACATGCGTTTACACATATTCATTACTGAGACACCAGATCTGACCACAAAACATTTTAAAATGTCATTTATTGAGTGAAACAATACATTTAAAATAATACGTTTGAGAAATGGGCTATTGTTATGAAAGTGTTGCATCCATTGGCCAACTTCTGCTACATTTATTTATTATGTAGAAGTTAGAGAGTGTACTTTATTTTTTAACCTTTTCATATTGGAAACAAGTTATATACTATATGAATTAATTAGTTATGGTGGCAGTCACCTCTTGTGGAATGCGGGCCAGCTTTAATGTAGATTTTGATGCTGCAGGTCTGTGTACTAGATTGGCATGGATTTATAGAATGATCACAGTCACAACGCTCTACATTGCACAGATGATGTGGGATATTCAACAAATTATTTGGTTAAACAGGGGTAAAATAATTATTTGAGTTATTTGTTAAAAGTTTGCATTGCAACACAGAACCCACCTGCTTGGACTGGCCTTTGGTAAGTTTTTCTGCGCTCTTATATTGCTTTTATTGAGGCACTAGGTGTATATATATAGGTGTATATATATACCTATACTAGGTATAGGTGCATGCTTGCAAAGGAGCTTACATGATAGATGGCCTTTAAAGGTTATAACCACAACCACGCTGTCACTTCAACGGGGACACAGTGAAGCTTCTACAGCCACTTAACACTTTATCAGATCAAGAAGGATCTAGTTGCAGATGCTCTGACTGCTGTCTTAAGGAACGCCGATCCTTGAGAATGTGATGACATTTGTCATGTCGAAGTGACATTATTTAAAGGTGGCAATGAACTGAGATGGAAAGTCATGTGGCCCACAGTAACCTTTTCTATCAAAGTTCTTTTTATGCTGACATTTTAAGGGATCTCAGGATGATGGGCTGAGGGTGAGTAGGTTTGAATTAGGCACTTTCACACCAGCTAAGACAAACAGTGAATTCCTAATCTACTTGGAGGCCGAAGGAAAGACTTTACTGTTTCTTTAGGATTGTGTCTCCTGTAGTATTCTTATTGTATATGGGCATATGTAGACCACCCCTAGAAGACTATATGATGGTCTACTATAAGCGTCCTCAGCGACAAAATGTCAATTTCCTACAATACAGCACCACTGCAAATCAAAAAGCAAATCATTTACAAGGAATGTACCAATTACAGGTTGCAAAAAAAGTATTACACAATTTAACAACTAATAATTGCAAAACCAATGTTTTAATTATATTAACACTCAAAATGAATATGAGTCATGAAATACTTTAAAAAGGTTGATTACGTGCAACAGTTCAAGGCAATAAAAGCATAAAACAAAGGTCTGGCAAACTAATAATATGCAGGCAAATTAATAATAAATTAAAAGGGTTTAACATCATTATTACAGCAAACCAACGATGCTGTAGAAAATGGGAGAGAAATATACTTTTTTGGGTAGCATTTCAAGATTCTCTTCCATAAAAAAAAAAAAGAAATCAACAACTTTATTTAGTAGAGTAATGCAGCACTCTAACTCTCATCCACTATTAATACCTCTCACTGTTAGTGTTTTGGAAGATTGATCTTCATCTGTTTTCCTGTGGTTCAAGTCCTGGGCAGGTTATGGAAACATTTGGCACGTAGTTTCGGAATTGGGTGTTTTTCCTCCAGATTGCATTCCGCAGAGTCTTTGCAGCAAAGTAAACATATGCACCAATAACAAATAAGACAAGAAACTGACAGAGGCACATAGGGCGCTTTCTCAAACAACAAATTTGTTCTTGGTGGTTGAACCGCTTTTGGTAGCAGTGTCTGCGTGGGATTGGTAGCCAATAGTCATCTTCATGGGAAGCCCCAAGCGCTCCTTGTAAACTCTCCTGATGACAGAAAAATGACACGTCAGAGGATTCAGAGAACGTCATCACCTGTGTTTGAGAATGTAGATACTACTACTGTGAAGACCCCCCTCACCCTATGTGTGTCACAGATTCCCGGTTCTCATAGTCTGATGTCCAGACAGCTATTTTATCTCCTTTTGTACGGATGTTGACCACAGCTCCGCAGACATCGTCGCTGTAGTCGTCAAAGGCCTCTCCAACTAAGCACAGGAGCTGGTGAAGGGAGGGAGGGGAATAAAAGCTAGGGTCATTACATAATGATTGGCACCGTTATTTTCACTATAACTACAAATCCTCAATATTCTCATAAAGGATGCCATGGCCATTGATAGCTTTGCAACCTTAATTTCTGTGGACCAGCCTTTCATTCAGCCATATTAGAATGTTTTCAAGGTATGCTGCTAAATCCTTCAAATCATAACTGAACTCAATATTAAGGATAGTAACATATTATAATGTTGTAGCCATTTGATAGTGACATTATTACGTTAAAGCAAATAAAGTAATAAAAAATGTTAGCAATAATATTTGAATAGTATCTTAATATCTTAGCTATATTAGCTCTGTATTTGACCACAACAACCTCTTTTATACTGTCTACTCCGCAACCTTGGTGATTTTCCTTTTTATAGGTTGCAGAATTAAAGGCTTCATTTTCACTGTCCGACTGGTCTACTGTATGTAGGTAGCTAGCTCCACATATGTTGTTTGCAGATCAGTGAAAATGCAGGCTAGCTGGGCTGCTGCTGCCTAGTAAATGGAATAAAGCCCTTGTTTGTTGTCCCCACTCCCATCGGTCTTTGCCTCCACCAGGAAAAGGGATATTGACCGGTCTGAGTCTGACTGTTCGTTCTCCCAGAAGGTAAAGTTAACGCTAGTTAGGTAACATATATTTATTTGTGGTGGGTATTTCCAAAATGCCAATGCCTGTTTGTTAGCTAGGTAGCAAGTTAACAATGACTGCGTTGGCTGCGGTCGAAAAGTCAAAAAAATCTCCTTTCCTAACCTCCTTGTAAAGAAGAATCCATAAGGACTTAGGAAAAGAGGACCGCGGGGTTCAGAGAATCCGACTGCTCTTTTCTAAGCGACCTAATTATGCGACGGCGGATGTTACTGATGTGGCTTGCTGTGATAAAGCTACAATATTCCGAAGATGGACTACAAAAAGCGCATCTTTGACACTGCGCCCCATGTTGTTGTAATACAGGCCATCTAAATGTGGACAACACGGTGGAATATATTACTTAATAACCAAGATAGCAGAAAGGCAGATAAGGTAGCCTACCAGTCACTAAATAATGGACAGGGTTGTCACATTGAGAATGCTTGCTCACACTCACCCTCCTGCCCACCCATAGGCGTATTTATAAACATGAATCCCAATTGTATGTAAATACAGTGTTTCCCACAGAATGACAGAGTAACTGTGCTGAGAGAGAGAGAGAGAGCGAGGGAGCGACAGGGTGAGAGGAGATGCTGAGAGAATATATGCGCTGCGCGGAGCTCTGTCATCAAATACGATTTTAACCATAGTAACAAAATCAATCGAAAATCAGCGTTGATAATGTGGTAGGCCACCACAAATAAATCAGTGTGTGGGAAACGCCTACTGCGGAGGTTATCCAGCTTGATCTTTGCCTTTATTAAGGCAAGGGTGTCAGCATCTGTGACTTTAGTAATATTAATTTGCTGAAGGCTGCAGTACATAACGTGAGGCTACACGCTGTAACATTATCCTCACTTTGATCACGTTACAAGACTAATAACAGCTGGCATGGGTCTCAGTTATTGTTGACAGTTTAAGATATATGCATATTAGCAAGTTATGGCATAAGAGAGAAAAGGCTTAATAGCCAATGGTAACTTCCCATTGATCAACCTCCTTTATCCGTCATGGTTGGCGATTTATTTTTTTTTAGAAAACACTTAATGGCTTATTTCAACAACCCGAAACATAAAACGGTGTTGAAACAGTATTAGATTACAAAAAAGCCAAAAGAAAAAAGGTAATTGTGAGTCTAATTAAAGTATCATAATGTGCGTCTGTGTTGCAGGGATCTTGCTAAATGTGGTTGATGGATTTTATCGTTTGAGTTTGAGAACGTGCGCCGCTTTAAATGTTGCCGCCACAAGGAATTGTGGGACGGCATTCTCTCCTTTCCTTTCATAAAGGATGGTCCGGCGTACCCTATGCTAAAGGAGATACGAAAGGCAGCACTGAGGCACCTTTCCTCAGCTTTTAGAGAATTCGAACAGCTCTTATGCCACTGAAATACTTGCGGTTCACTTCACTCAGTTAGGAACCTTTCTAAGCAAAAAAGACTTTTCGAACGCAGCCTCAAAGTTCAAGTTAGCTTACTGGTTTGAGAGACTCCGCCCCCAAAGGTGAAATCCTAATATCGCCCTTGGTCAGTTCTAGGGCTGGGCAATAAAACAAATATGATTATTGCAATAAAGTTTTCCTCAACAATATAAAAAATGTTCAATAAATGTTGGATTTAATTCATTTGAATCACAAATGAATCAGCACTTAATTTTATTTATTTTATTTATTTATTTTGTTGAGAAGGGACTGAAAAAAAATTCAACTTAATTTTACTCATTCATATTTGCTGAAAAAAAAAGTATTTTATCATTAACCATCTGGTTTCTTCAACTTTCACTCAATCAGCTAAACTTAAAAGAAATAATAATTACATTTATCCTGATAATTATTGCTATTGAACGACATGAAATTTTTTATCGTCATATCATACATCTCGAGACGGCGTCAGTCTGACTTTCGCCGACTTGATAGTCTAATGGTGCTTTCAGACCAAACGTGAATTTAATCCTCACGACGCTTTCCTCGAGTACATTCGCTGCAAGTGTTCACACACACCTCGATAAGGCATTTAGAATCCGCAAAAAATTTGCTCGAGTTGGAAATTTCCAATCACGTAAAGGCCATCGCGTTGCCGGCACCGCCCCCTTCGTGTCGCTTTGCGCCGCCCGACAGGAAATCGCGGCTCTACGCGTCTTTGCATTGACTTTGTATGTAAACTCACCGCCACACAGTAACGTGAGCTGCAGGTGACTGCAGGGGCGGGTTATAAAAACGGCGCCGTCAAGTTGGACACATTCTACCTGCAGCAGCTTACTGTCAGCTGAGATCAATGACTGATCTCGCAGAATTTGCAAAGAAAAATACAGTGAGAATAGTGAGGTTCCAATTTGGTGCAGTTGGGGAATAGCAACTTGCTCCCGTGAGGTTTTAATGTCATGTGACATGGCGACGTTATGCAGCGCCAGCAAAAGTCGGACACGATTTCTAACCAGCATGCCCCTATTTTAAGTCCAGCATGCATCACGTTAAGTCAGCGCTGCGCAGCGCCGCATTAAGTCAAACGCACATAATACAAACCATGTAAAATTAAAGATGGCGCAGGGCTGCTTTCTTGTGTTCTGGCTGGAGTGCTGCTCAGCAGGGAAGTGCTTAGTGCTGCCACTGGTGTCCAGAAGAAGTATATATGAGATTACCGTTTGAATGAGTAGTATGTAACCGCAATACCGGAGGCTGCAGTTTCAGGACCGCAATCCTGGGACCGGAACTGAATTTCTAGGACCCTTGTTTACTTTGATACTGTCACTAGCTAGCTATATTACTCTTGACAGCCGCCTGAAACCAATTACCCTCACCACAACCATCACCGAGTGTGTGCCTAAACCTAAGTTATTGATTATATGCATGTCGACAGGTTAACCCTACAGCTGGGCACATCGGCCTCACGGCCGACTTGCTGACAGACAGGGTTAACACCTCCTTTGTGCCTCCAGTACTGCAGCTAGATAATATTGGTTTGAATCACTAGTACTACAATACAGGTTCCAGCCACCAGTGGCAGCACTGAGTGCTATACTGCTCAGCAGCACTCCAGCCTTCTTCCACACACAGAAACATAAAACACATTTTATGAGCAGATCCTGTACCTGAAATGACCAAATTCAGACAGGTCCTGGTCCAGGGCTAAGCATCACACACCACAACAACTATCACAGCTCAACATATTGGTAAAACAATTAGATTTTAGAATATCATTGAAAAGGAATGTGACCCCTTTCAGCCCACTGAGACCAATATTGACAGTATAGTCAGTGCTTATTGGATTGCTGGATGTCTGTATCACTGTCAGTGACCACAGACTTAGCAGCAAGCAAGCCAACAGTTGATATATTTGATGGTGCTGTAGCGCGTTAACATCAGATCAGCATACAGTCAAAGCAATAGTACATTTTTTTAGATATCATAGAAGATTTTGTTGTGCAAATGGATGATGACCACACTAAAACAATCTGATCTGTGGCTGGCTTCAGTTTTAAAAGGTATGACAAATGATCACTCATTTCAGCAGTGTGACAAATGTAATGATGGAGTGGCTAACTACTACTAACCAACTAATTATGGCTGCCAGCTGGTAATACAACTTCCCAAGAATCTCATGAAATGATTAACAGCATCTTTCATTTGAGTAACAATGCTGAACAGGCCACAAAGCACCGCAGCCAAACCTACAGTTTCCAGCCAGAAGCGGTCCAGGTCTAATCTCCTCTGCTGCTTGTTAAGCGTGATAAGCCAGCGCCCGCCACGCTTGTTCCTCTCGTCCTCCCACATGGGTTCAATGCCATCCTGCAGTGGTGGTTCAAAGTATCAATACACATCCCAAACTACAGCACAGCCTTTCATAATGAGGTTTCAACATGATTTCAGCATTGCATGCAAGAAATGTCTTTTCTGACTCTTCAATAGTCACAGCTGAAATTCTTTGAATCTAATTAAGAGCAAGAGTATTAAAAAGGAAGCAAGAACTCAACATGTGTCCAGTCTGTAATGGTTAAATATTTGGATTTGGCTCTGACTCACCTAAGATTTTTCTCAGGGCGATTTAAAATTTGTACATTTTACAGGTGCAGATGAACTAACTCCCTGTCTATGAATACAAGTTCACTAGTTGGCCTTCGCCACAGAAAAGCACACTGTTCAAAGACTGCAGTCATATTTGATTACTGCTTTTTCCATTTATTATCATCACCAATCTCAAGCACATCAATTAGTGGCTGCTAGCCTCCTCCTGCCATTTAACTTACTAACCGTCCACACACTTATATCATCACATCTGGTTTAAAGAGCTTTTTTGTGGATGAACTCTCAGTATGTAGAGACAGATTAATTCAGAGACTTTCACAGAAGTGGAAGTCTATGTGTTGACAATTCAACCATGTATCAGACTGTTTGCAGAAGCTTCATTTGAAAAAAAATTTAACTGAAATTTGGCTTAATCGGTAAGCTGCTGACAAAATGTTTTTCAGTGCCAATTTTTCTCACAAGAATATCAGCTTGGAATGAGATTTTGGGACCATAGATTTTCAAATAACTGCCAAAAGATGTCTTTTCTTCCTGTACTTGTGCCATATGTGAAGGCTGAGGCCTTTGCTTAGTTCGTAAATGATAATGTCAGATGATGTAAACGTCATCCTCCACAAGAAAGAAGTTGTGTAACTTTTTACATGGTTCTTCTTTTAGCCTTCAAGTCAATTTCAGAAAGGGAGAGAAAACACTGTTGTCCTCGTACATTGTCCTTGTTGAACACACATACAGCAATTGTGGACGCTGGTGTGTAAAATATAAAGTAATTTTATCCAGAGGGGCGACTGGAATGCAAAATATTTTGAAAAACAAATTGGTTTTAACTATAATTTAATCAGTATTTGAAATCCTCGCTCTCTGCACATTTAACTAAATGGTAAATAAATTAAACATACCTTAAAAAGGGAGTAATCACAACCTGACATGAGGTTGCTTGACAACTGGATGTGGTTGTACAGGCTGGAATGAGCAGAGCACAGCATTAACAAAACATGCTGATCAAACAGTATTTTAAACAACAGTATACAGTCGTGACATTTTACTGCTTCAGTCACTCCATGGAAATCAGGAACAAACAAAGACTCGAGAGAGATTTATTGCTCCTTACGCCCAGAAATCTTCAACAGTGTCAAATTTAGAGATGAGTCGCAGGTTGGCCTGCCATGTTTTGCTCTTGTCGTTCTTGAAGAACCACAGAGACCATCTGTTGGGGCGAAAACAGAAAAAGGAATTTGCATAAATGTAACAAGGCTCTAATTACACTGGAGGTAAACAAAAGTAACCAAAAGCCATTGAGCTCGGGGGCAAATTAGCGACGTATGGATGCGCCTGGATGCTGCCAGCACAAACTGTTCAGTAAATCAAGCAGTCACTCTCTTGGCCCAATGAATTGCGACGCTGTGTCACACTTGTTCGACGGTGAACCTTCTCATGGCTCAGCAACTGCCTTAAGTTCCTGGGCTTGAGGAATAATAAACTATTATAAAGCCATTAAAGCCACTAGTCTACCAGGGAGTTTGGAAGGTGTTTTTCAGTCAAAATAAATGCAAGTAAAGGACGGAATACGTCAACAGATACAAACTGAAGTCCCTTGAGTGGCATTGTATTGTCCATGAACATCTGTTAAGCAAGGTGGGCTTCAGTTTATGGCACATTCATTCCTTTTTAACTTGTCTGGTAAAATACTTGAATGTTTGAATATAGGCCATAATCTGAGGCAGAATATATGGTACAGTCCCTTACATGGTTCACTACAGGGGGTTTCTTTGCCTTCTAATACATGATAGGAAAGGCTCATGCACCCCAAGACCCTGTACAGAAACAAGCGGGTCAAGAAAATTAATAAATACTAATAGGCTTATGTTGCATAACTTTCACTGACTAACTGTATGGAAAAATCCTATCTGATATAAGGTATTAATTTATTCAAACTAATGAAAAGCAATGAAGGAATTTCTGTCATTTTGCACCACTTTGATGGTTACTTTGTAGGCCTTTTTAGCCATAATACCTATGCATTTTAAACCTCACAACTGAGCTGCATCAACTGACCACTTACGAGTTTAGGGTCCAACTTTTCCTTTGGCTGACTGGCTTTCTGTTGAGTCTGGCTTTTCTATTTGACCCTTTTGGACATAACTATCCTTGTGGAATTTAAATGTATACAAAATATTTAGTATTCAGCACAGAAGGGTGCTGGAACCTATCCAAGTATGGATGGAAAGGAAAACACTGAAACTTTCTGGACAGGTCACCAGACCATCACAGACAATCAAAGTCCTACTGTGGGGAACTAAACTCTCCAATCCAGCAGACTGCATTTGTTTGGACTGTGAGAGAAAATCTAATTTAACAGTAAAGTACATGAAAACGCACACAGGACCGCGCGTCACAAGTAACACTGCTAACCACTGAATCATTAACTACATACAAAATATTATAAATCTTTATATTATTTATATTATTTCTTCATTTAATTGTTACTTTTTTTTCCCGAAGAGTCAAGCTGAAAATGGATTTTAGCTTTAGTAACTTCTAAATCTCAAGTATGTTTAAATTCGGAGAAAAATAGTATTTGTTTTTGTTGGCATATTTTTCACATGCACTGTGCACAGACAGTTTTGTAAATTACTCAGTATCCTCCTAGTGAACAAAGAGTTCATTGTTTGTTTGATGAATGGTCAATTCATGTCACACACTTCACATGTCCAGAGATCAAACAACTGTCTGCTGCATAAGTCACTAAACTTTTCTTTGATACTGGTGGATCTGAATTGAGCCAATATATGTGCCTCAAAGGGGGAACTCTAAACATATAACAAATGTTCATTTGAATTACATATGGACCTACCTTGTGTCAATCATAACCCTCGTAATTCAACAGGCAAGCCAAAGCAATACACATCTACTGACACTCCTAAAGCCTGATTTTAATGTCAAGCTGGGCGATATGGCCAAAAATGTAAACACAATAAAAAAATGTCATATCATTCAATATCAGTAATTATCACGATAAATGTTAAATTATTATTTCTTCCAAGTTTAAAGGCTGATTTTTGCTCTTAAGTGAAAACTGAAAAAAACAAAATCAGATGGTTTATTGGGTGGCTTTACTATATAGAACTATACAACAGAACGTGACAAACACTTGATGCCAAACAGTGGATCACTTTACAAATCTGAGGTAGAACATTCAAAACAATTATGATAAAATCTTTTTTCAGTCCCTTTTCCTTAACAAAATAATATCTTAATATAAAATTAAATGCTAATTAGTTATTGATTCAAATTAATGAAATCAAACATTTATTGACTTGTTATACTGTTATTAAGGGAAATTATATTGCAATAATTGATTATTGTTTTATTGCCCAGCCCTATTTTAACGACTTAAATAAAAATGTAAAAATAATTCCAGATAAAACTATTATTAGCCTCCCAATTAATCTGTCAATGACTTCTTTGATTGACAAGCACACACCAACATTTTTGTAACTTTTCTAGCAGCACTCCTGCAGATTGTCAATCCATTCACTGATTAAGCTAACTAACAAACTGTGTGTGTTTAATAATGTTGGCATAAAAACACTAGCCAGCCCTGAACAGTTATGTAAAGGCAGGGCTGGGCAATAAAACGATAACAATAATTCTTGCGATATAATTTTCTACAATATAAATGCAACAAATGTTTGATTTAATTAATTTGAATCACAAACGAATCAGAACTTAATTTATTTTGTTGAAAAAAGACTGAAAAAAGATATTACTTAATTTTACTCGTGCATATCTGTTATAAAAAGATTTTATCATTATAATGTTCAACCTCAAATTTGTGATCCACTGTTTGGCAAATGTTTGTCATGTTCTGACCATAAAGAATATTTTAAACTTTCAGGAGCAAAAATCAGCCTTTAAACGTGAAAGAAATAATGATTTGACTTTTATCGTGATAATTATTTATACTGATTGATACTACATTTTTTATCATGATGTTATTGAAATTGGTTGATTCGTCGATGCCACAAAGTAAATATGAATACTGCTTGTGAGAGTGTCCACTGGATGTTATACCTGCCAAATTTATTTATTCAAATGTCAGATCAAATAAATGTGCTCTAGTGCTTGATTTAATGAAACTGCCCATCTCAAATACATTTTAAACTGCAGACCCTAACCTGTTCTGGAGGGGGTGCTTGATGTAGGCCTCTGGGCTCACAATCTCCTGACCAGTCTCCTCAGGTCCATCTTCATCAGGCTGGGGTGGACTTGGGTTGGTTTCCTAAGAAGCAGTTAGGTAGATGTGAGATACATAAAAGGGAAGAAGGCATTGGGTTTCTATTCCCAGTGCTAATGATTATACAGGTGCATCTCAAAAAGAAATAAACTCTAATTTTATGTACAAGTGTGAAATTGGATTTGAATATGAGGCTAAATCATGAGAAATGAGCTGCACACTGACAGACCTTTGGATTTTGTAAAACTAAAGTTTAGTTAATTCATATATTTGAGGTTATTTACAGTATTAGTAGAGGTTAAGTACAGCTGCAGCTCAAAATCCCCCCCCCCCCACACACACACAGTTTTTTGATGACCTGTACTTTCTGGTGGAAAAATAATCTAATCTCCTAAGAAATAACTTTACAGTTGTTGCTGACAAAAGTGACCCCTTCAATCACTGCAGAAGTAAGTTACAACAAAAAATTTAGGCAAAATTTAGTAAGAGCCCAGCTGACAGAATAATATTGTTGGTTCTACTCTCAAACGAGATTAATAGTAAATCTCCTATAATTAAACTAGGAATTATCATAAAAACAAATTCCGTGAGGGAGGAGTTCACTAGTGAAACACGATACAAACATCTGGTACACATTTAACTGTGAAGTGAAGCTAAAGTTTGACGTCATAACGTCACCCACTAGTGGTGGCACGTACGTTTAAAAAAAAAAAGTGTTATTTAATAGTCAGGCACGCTCGTATTAATTCCCATGATGTTTGTTGGTGAACGGAAAGAACACCACGTAATTTCCATTCATATGACTGTCAGTTCAATAATTAGTTCCTTGGTAACTACAAAGTATCCGCTATAATAACATGAACACTTATTACTATAATTCCGGCATGCATTTCATACACCAAAAAGTAGGGGGAAACCACTTTTAAAACTTCCTCTGTGTAACTATGATCTAACGTTACCTAATTTAACGTTCAGTCAGCAGTCGCATCGCAGAGGTCAGCAGGGAGCACTGTCAGTCAATTCTGACAGTAGAAATATTTGCTACAAAAACAAACTGCTATTTCTATTTGGTGGATTAGTTTACATGCCGAATTAACTGTTACTCCATAATAAGCATACCTGTCTTAAATAATTGTTACTCAGGTATGTACTTAACCTAAGCAATGGCAAGCTAACACGTTTTGTACTCTAACTTGGTGCCGTTCTCCTCGCAAAGGTGAACGGCACGTCGGTTAGCCATAACGTCAGCCTTAAAGTTGGGAGATCTCCACACACAAGCTCTTTTTTTAACGCTTAACTTGGGTCGTGGCACAGAAGACAAACGTGAAACTAGTGAAAACAGCACGTGGGAGTGAAACAACTGTCAATTTCCTTTTGAGGACTAATGTTTAAAGCTGTACATAAACTTTTAACGTGATCTCGCCCTGTATTTGACACTACAGCCCCCCCAAAAATGTTTTGATATGCTCTTTACAGAAAGTGCTCACCGGTTCGGCGGTCGCCATCTTACAAATCTCTGTTAGGAAAGTTTCCGTTGATTGGACCGAGCGCTGCAACGTGACCGCCGATGCGGACATGCGCAGTGGGCCGCCGCTGGCTGGTTGCTTCTCTGCGACTCCACCCCTCCAGCAGACGAAGGCATGGCGAGCACCGAAGCTAGAAGAGAGTGCGAGACGGAGGGATGCAGCAAGGACGCAAAACTCCAGTGTCCCACATGTATCAAGCTTGGTATTCAAGGCTCGTATTTCTGTTCGCAGGTACTGCTGCTTCCTCGGCCTTTCCGGCTTAAACGGCGGCTGTAGCCACACACCAAGGCCCTGTTATCACCAGGCTGCTAACTGTCAAGCTAGGCAGACATGTGTAACGTCAGGTGCTTGGTAAACCGCTAATAACGCATTTGCTTAACGTTAACGGGTGCTTTCTGACAGTGTAACGTGATACAGGTTGGTGAGGATGAATAATGCAGTCGGTGATTGTAACCGATGCAGTCTCCGTAGCACTAGGCCGAGGCAAAACGTTTAACGTTAGCTAGCTAACTTGTGAACTGTTGGCTTGTTGGCGAGTGACATACAGCAACGTTAACCTCCCTGGTAAATATAAAAAACGTTACTTTTTATTTTTTGCAGGTAGCGTAAAACTGTGTATGAAATAGTGCACCTTGTGTAAGTTAGGAACCAGGTGTGTTTGTCATGCAAAAGACGGCAAGTAAGTTAATGGGAATTGGGTTGTAACGTTAAGGTGCTAACTTTACAGAGTTGACATGATCGTGACGGATCACTTGGTGCCATAATGCTTGATCCTGGTCCTTTCTTTCCTAGAAGACCAGACCCCACTCACAAATCTGTCAGTTTAAAGATGCATTTCTTTTATAAGTCCTCATACTTAACTGAACGTTACCTATGCCCTAAAGGGTTTAATATAAGCCACTCTTAACAGTGTGAGTCACTTGAGAGAGTTGATGTCCTATTGATAAAGTTGGTAGATGTATCTTTGTGCTAAATGTGTCTTGCAGCAGGCACTATGCTGGAAAAGGTCTCTGCCAGTAAAGCATTAAGCGTTAAACTACAGCAGTTGTTCTGTGAGTCGAAAACTTAACTTAAACTTAATATGAGCTTGTAGTGCCATGGTATTTGACCCGAGAGGTCTTTGCTGCGATTGCAGTTTTGGCTGTGCAACCAGACCCTGCTCTCTCTCTTGCCTATCTCTCTCTGCAGTGGTGATTGTCCAACTGAGGCACAAACACCATTGGAAATGGCAAGAAATGGTGGTGGTGGAGTGGTTTTGTCAAGAATACATTAACTATACATATTTGGGAATGTCTCTACCAATAGTGCACATCCTACGGTGCAATATCGATCATGTATTGTGTGCACGCAAGTAGCATTGTGTTTTAAAAGTTGGGTTTTAATGAGTTGTGCCTTAGCAGACAATCGGTAACTGGCAGACATGAGCTAAGTGTACTTTTGAGTTCAATTTGTGCCGAATCAGTAACAGAAATGCCTAGACCTGTTCTCTCTGTGTTTTCATTTTCAGGAATGTTTCAAAGGGAGCTGGGTGTCTCACAAGTTGCTGCACAAAAAAGCAAGTATGTATAACTGATCACTGTCAGTTCACTGATGGACTCGCTCACAGTGTGTGAATAAATTGCATGTTATTTTTTTTAATAGCACTGATGACAGAGAAGTTGAGGTTTTAGAAACCAATAACCTGACCTATACTTGGTGTTCAATTAGAGCAAAGTCAGGAAACTTGCCCTTGAATGTGAAACTAGCGCAGTGGTGCCAAGTGCTTCAGAGATTTTGTGCTGTGTTTTGTTAGAGGAGGACAAGAATCAGAATGAATTGAAGAACTGTGTGGAGAAGGACATCAACACAGACCCATGGCCGGGCTACCGCTACACAGGAAAACTACGCCCTTACTACCCACTGGCAAGTTCCTTCTGTTAAAAAAAACTCTACAATTTCACACATTTTGCCATGTATGATTCATTAAATGAAAATTGAAAAGCAAACCCAAGTGCAGACATGCGTAGGCGTTACTACCCTTTTTGTCTCCTATATGTACATTTATGTCACAATTGTTGATATAATTTGCCACCAACAGCTGTGACTGAAACAGGCATGACAACAGAAGAGTAACAAAAAATGTTCATGTGAATTAATGTTTCTGTCCTCTCCTTGGCCCCTGCTGTAGACTCCCATGAGGCTGGTGCCTGGTGACATCCAAAAACCTGACTATTCCGATCATCCCAGAGGTAACCATGCTTCGTTAATAAGGAAGTATATATTCACTTTGATCATACTAGCTCATCATTGTTTCCTTGGAAGCATAGCCTTAATGCCATCACAGGCATCCAGAGAGACACTTTGTTGCAAAGTGCAAAACACACGCAAAAATCAGAGATTAAAGTATTTACAATCCCCCCACTATTACCTTATTCCACTGGCAAAGTTGCCCGACAACATTCACACAGCAGTGTTTATGGTTTGTTTTCCTCATTAGCTCCAGGGTCCTAAAGTGAAGGTTTAATAATAGCAGATATCATTAATATCTTCCTTATTTTGTACAATACATTTATACTGTGGGGTGTAATGACCCAGGCTGTCTTGCTATTAAGTAACATCTCTGTTGTATGGGTATGATGGATACCCGGAAAAAAGAACTGCCATCCAGTGAGCACAATGCTCCACAATCCAGCTCCAGAGTGGTGAACTGAGAGATCTGATGCTCAAAATCTACCAGAGCAAATCTAAGCAGGGTGTGGTTTCTCAGCACTATGCCTATATAATTTATACATCCACATTATTTACCTGTTATCTTGGGGTGGTTATCTAATAATGAAATTCTGATTCTTGGCGACACGTTTTGACCCAGTGCACTGTGTGCCAAACCATTAACCGGTATCTTGTCCACTGAGCTGCAAATTAAACATTACTGACAGTTAAGCTAACTGGGCTCCTAAAGTGCGTGCGTGCGCAGAGTGGTAACATTCTGTCTCCAGCTGTGGTCCACTGGTCTCGTTTAGCAGTGCTGGAGTTCAGTACGCTGCTCTGTTAATCTATGCTAATGTTAGTCTGTTGGTGATGGGGTACAAAGTAATCTTTAAAAAACTTCCTTTTGTCTTACAAAGCAAATTTATCCAAATTTATAAATAAATCCAAAACGCTTAAGTTCTTTGAAGACAAACACCGGAGTGCTGCATTGTGCCCTCACGCTTGAGTTCCCCCCTTTTCGCTCTGTTGGCATGATGTTATTAACTAAAGTTAGTCCAAAAAATTTTTTATTTTTTTATTTATTTATTTTTTCTTCACCAACCCCTACCATTTCCTCTACATAAATACAGGTGTATATCCAACAGGACCACCACTATATTGGTGGAAGATAAATGTTTTTGTGCAATCCTGAATGGGTATCAATCAAATTTCTTACCATACCAGATTTTTTTTTAGATGACTTCAACATAACAGTTATCAAATGTATGCTATCAATGGCTAACATGCGGGTGCACATTCTGAGTTACAAGCTGCTGAAGGCCTGTCTCAGTGTGTTAAAATATTCTGAACAAAGCGGTCATCCATGCATGTGTTTTTAAATAACTCATTGCATGAATACACAGATATGCTGATATGTCTTGTGCTGTTGGCTAAAGAACTCTACACAGACAAGATAGTCTGAGCGTCTGCGACGCTGTAGGCAATGCAGAAGAACAAGACCAGCATTTGCACAATTTTTGTAGAGAAATATTGAAAGCGAAAACTTCTCACTACTACGTTTTTACACACTGCTTTGTCACTACTTTGTTCTTCATTTAGTCTATACATGTGTGTACTGCTGTGTTATCATGTTATCAAGGAAATGTAGTAAAAAAAAACGAACACAAACATGACGTAATGTGTTGTCACTCGCAGCTGTCTGTAGTGAGTTCAAGAATTTGATCCTTTTATTATGTGGTTTGTGCAAGTGGCTGAAAGCTGTACACAACTGCAGTATAAGCTGTGTCTTCTCTGTAGTAGTCACAAGTCTCCAAATTCAGTCGATTCTATTTTCAATTTAAAGGTCACGATAAATTTGATTGAGAAAAAAAAAAAAAAAGAATTTAAAACATTTTAGACTATGAAGTTTTGATTTGTAAAGATCCACAGATCATTGTTTTTATGCTATACATTTTCGAATTCTCTTTAAAAACAAAGGGCATACATGGTATCGAGTGTGACATAATTGCTTGATGCACGGCAAGTAGGCAGTGGTGGAATTGGCGGTCCTGCTTTTTATGTTGAAGGTTGGAATCGAAAGCTCATTCCGAATCAAAATCGTGACACCCCTAATTGGTAGTATCAGTATCATTTCTCTGGAGTTTTGATTCAGTATTGCTGTGGAAAATATTGATTGGTGTGGCTTTTAAAAAAAAATAAAAAAAAGAATTAAGTACAGTATGCATGTACATTATAATTGTATGCAATTCCTCAGATCCTTTTTGTATTTTGTCTCATCATTCAGTTGTATGCAGGCACTGTTCTAATGGCTTTTCTTTCACAGAAAGAAAGCTGATATTGTAAACCTTTAAACTGGAATGGATATTGCTCGGTTTAACAGCCCAATAGTCTCTCACTATGATCTCTCATCACCATTTTAGATTCATTGCCGCAGTAGGTTGGGTTCTTTTGTGTTGATTATCAGTCACCTATAATTGTAACCTGGCTTATGTATGTCTTATTTCCCTGGGCAAGCCATTCACTGTGCAGCCATGACAACATCTATATCCTTGTGATCTGACTGCACAGATCCATACTCGGGTAGTCATGGTTACAGTCTCCTTTCCTTCTCAGGGACTGAGGCACAATTGTTACAGGCTGATGTGTTGCTTTTTCTGTTACTGAGCTGAAGTCAAATCCACAAACGTTTTGTTTTCCAATTGCACTTTAAAAGGTGAATAATAGCACTGATCAACAGAAAGTGGACCTTATCATTCTGAAGACATGTTAATGTTCACACTGTCATTCTCTCATACTTTGCTTCTTTTCTGAGCAGCTGTATCGAAGCGTAAGTAAGTCTAATTGATTGTTGCGCTCACACTGTAGGCTCCGCAGGTCAATAGGAGGGCTGTATTTGACTCGTACACACACCTGTCTAAAGTCCGTGTTGCTAGGCAACTGTTCATGTTCATCCAGCAGTCTTCTTGTTGAGTCAATACATTATAAATCAACAAATTGTTGACTGCTCCAGTGCTTTGACCAACATGTACTGAAATACTGTCCTAATGTGCTTTTCAGTCCATAACGGTAACAGTCCTGCTCTGTTCCTCTTGAGTCCACAGTGTGAGTATCATTAGTCTGCCTCTGCTCTGGTGCTGATGCTGTAGCTTATTCTCACCAGGAGCAGCTAGTTACCCATAGTACCATAGCACCATAGACTTTTACTTTTTATAGATATTTGGGATTTAAGTGTTTTCTATATATGTAAGTAATGTATGCAAAGTATAATAATAATAATAAAAACAGAGGTTAACACAAGTGAGAACAAACTAGGCTATAACGGTACACAGAGTTCGGTATGTTCCTCAGTCTTACAGTCTGTACATTTTTGGTACAACGGGGAAAACAAAAACATTTGGAAAATAATTTTTGGCATTTATTTTGAAAAATGCGAGCACTCAACAGTGTCTCATTGGCCAAAATTGTTTTAACAGTTAAGGCACTCAAATACTGACATAGGCAGTAAGACAAATAAATCACTAACACAAATGTCAGTATTGCTCCATCGTAAGACTGACCTGTTGATAATTCCCAAACAACTGCAGCTTGCACTTGTTTATACAGGGCAGCACTGACTGTCTAAAATGCATACCTGGCCACACGTAGCGGGGATTTGGCACGGTCTGAATCTTCAGCACGAAGCCGCCTGAACGCTACGGGGAGGACTCGTTTTTGTCTAATTCCACATTCATCAAAGACATGTTTGAAGTGTTTCCACAGGCGGCACACCTGACTTCAGTTGAACAATGTTGGCGTACAGTTTGAGACTAATCCTTGTCCATTTTTGCTCTAACTAACCGGGAAACCATAATGCTCCCAGCCAGAGTGTCTAAATGTCACATGAGGATCCTCCAGCTCTGGTCTCTCATTTGTGTTTGCCATTCACAGGCAGCAGCCCTACAGGAGCTTGACTAAGCTGGCTAACCAGGCTAAGCCGACTAGCACGCTTCAGCTGATAGACAACAACTTGTGCAACACAAAATCTTTTTCTGTTTAAAAAAAAAAAGTACTTTGCAGTCTGTATGGATCGAATTTATGCAGATTAGATAGATAACAAAATAAGTTTGTGAAATTGTTTTCAAATATATTCACTTGTTGAAAATCAATAATTTATTACTTGTTGTTCAAATTTAACAAAGTAAAGATTTTAAACTGAACGATATCAAAAAAAAACAACACACACTGAATAATGTATGATTATTTAAAATGTTGCTTAGCTCAACTCAGTCTTAGACTCTAGACATGGCTTATTGTGTGAGTGTGAGCTTGGCTTATGTTACGGAGAGGCTGCATTTGTTCTGGATGTTTGTTGATTCATCAGTTAAACTAAAGTTACACTCATCAGTTGTACTCATGGTCTAGAGTTGATTAAATTGTGCACAGTCTTGAAGCTGCCAGGAGTCAAACACCACAAAAGGTTCAAAGTTAATAAGTGGCTTGATATAATCCATCCACATGGTGTTCTCTTAATAGAAAATTCATTGGTTAAAAACCAGTTACTATGTAACTACAAAGTTACAGTAATGCCTTTTGCCTCCTCAATACCAGGTGACTTATTGTCAGCTGTCACTTAGGGTGTAAAACTAAAATCGATTAGGACTATGTAAATCCAGCAGGGTTGATGCTGCATCTAAAAATCGATTGACGTATGACAGCTGCCTTGAAAGGTCCTATTTGAGTCGGCTCATCAGCTTTGCTGAGTATTGACGTGTGAATGATGCCAGTTGTCTGTCCTTGTTTCCTTCACACAGGCATTTCTGAGTCTGAGCAGTTTCTAAAGGGGACGTCACAGATCAAGATCCTTTCTCCTGAGGACATTGAAGGCATGAGAGTAGTATGCAAGGTAACAGAAATGACTGGCATTGCCATCGTGGCATTGCCTTGGTTTGTTTCCCGTTTAACACCTTTGGGTTTTGACATGTACAGTGTGTAATTTGCAGCTGGCTAGAGAAGTCCTGGACATTGCAGCCATGATGGTGAAACCTGGTGTTACAACAGAAGAAATCGACCATGCTGTCCATCTGGTACACGCACACGCACACGTTAATAAAGGCTGGGATGTTGTGTCCTCTTACCCAAACACACAATATGATTCTATGTTGTGTCCTATACAAATGCAATGCTTCACATGGGTCTTATAGTTTCTCATCCCTATATACATGGTCATTCCTGTTTTTACAGACCTCACCAACTTCATTAAGCTGTAATACAGCTCCATGAGGGGACAGGGGTCCCTCACTTGTTGCTTCCCAGCTATAACCAACGTGCTTTTGTCTGTTCAGGCTTGTATAGCAAGGAACTGCTACCCCTCTCCTCTCAACTACTACAATTTCCCCAAATCCTGCTGCACGTCTGTCAATGAAGTCATTTGTCATGGCATCCCAGACAGAAGACAACTACAAGAAGGAGATATCCTCAACGGTATGCTCATTGCACTACTCTGACATTCTTGTGTTTATTAGAAATACCTCTTTCTTTTTCATCTCACTATTGTCACTTACTTATATTTTCAATGTCAAACCAAGTCCTAGGAATAGTTAAGCTAAGTTTGGATTTAGGAAAATGGCAGGGGTGGGGGTTCCTCCCCATGACAAATGGTTGTACCAGCATCCTGAAATTTCGCCAGCGGGAGTTTGGCCAATTTTAGCCTCTTTATGAATATTTCTGCTGAAGCGATGTCTTCCATCCGCCACTCCCCTCAGAGCGTCTGATGGAATACTCACCAGCAACACATCTCTCGCTGCGTGGTCCGACAAGACGAATTGTATCATTAACCTTTACCGGTGGGGATTTGCTTGTCACATTGTCGGCTCTATATTATTCCTTAAGTGGTAAAAGTCCCAGTTTGCCCACTAGTAAATCCAATTTCATCAATACATTTTAAAAAGGGGACATTTTTGTTTGGCCTTGCAAATGGAATTGATTGAAATTCAAATTGGCCCAGTACACACCATTATGTTTCATTATTTCTAACAACGCTTTGTGGTAAACATAATCAAATGTAGTTGGTCACTTAACACAGCGGCTCTGACATATTCATCATGTCACTCTCACGCAGTGGACATCACAGTTTACCACAACGGTTTCCACGGTGACCTGAATGAAACCTTCTATATCGGAGAGGTGGATGAAGAAGCAAAGAAACTGGTTCAGACCACATATGAATGCCTTATGCAATCCATCGACTCTGGTAGGAATTCCAGCTTGATTCTTCTCTTCTTTTGCTGATGTTGTGTGTGCATACAGAACACTACCACCAGAGAGTCACCCCACCTTCACTGCACTTTGTTTAGACTCCCCCAGTTTGTCCACCAGAGAGCACTGATTAAATGTTCATTCTTGACCTTGGGAACGGTATTCATCTGTTTGACTTGTTTCCAAGGTCAAGAAAGAACTTTCGATCTCAACACATAAGCTAACATGGATGAAAAGTTCTTAAAGTGCTCAGAATAAAGAAAAAAAATTCTAATTTCCATGTAGACTGAGCAGCTCCATCTGCTGAGGAAGACTGTGTGATATGATTGCAGTCTCCAGAGCAGCTCCCTTAAAGTGAGCTGGGTTTTTTTAGTAATTTGAGAGCAAGTTTATGGCCCAGTTTAAGAGATCCATAGAAATAGATTAAGTTTGAACAGTTAATCAAAATTGTGTTGAAATTGTAAAATGGCCTACTGCTATTTTCTAATCGCAGGAGGGGCAGTGTTTGTTAAAGCTGTTCTTTGTGCCAAAAGAACATTTTAATTAAATATTGTCATGCTGCAGAGATGTCCTGGCCTAAACATCATATTGAAGAGACTTAAGAAAACATCTTTTTCATCATAATCACTTCAATGTTTTTCAGTGGAAATGAGAATATTGATGTAAAAATGATCATCGCCTCTAATATTGCAATATCAGTCAAAATAATTGCTAATGTGTTTTAAAAATGGCTTAGCCCTACAATACATGAGAAGATTTCATCCATATCGGCCTCAGAATTCCAGTAAACGGTTCGTTTTCCCAGGCCTATAAACCTCATGCTCACTTCTTTGCTGTATTGTTTTTTGGGGGGGTGTTTCTTCAGTGAAGCCTGGCATCCGCTATAGAGAATTAGGTAACATCATCCAGAAGCACGCTCAGGCCAACGGCTTCTCTGTGGTGCGGAGCTACTGTGGCCACGGCATCCACAGACTTTTCCACACTGCTCCCAATGTGCCACATTATGCCAGTGAGTAGTCACAAACCTGCTGTCAAAAGAAACTGTTGAATTTCATACATGTTTACAACCTCGGGATGATTTCCATATTCATTCATTTCCTAGAAAACAAAGCAGTTGGAGTTATGAAGCCTGGCCACGTGTTCACCATTGAGCCCATGATATGTGAAGGTGAGTGTGAACAACAAATGCCTTAATTATACAATTTGCAAAGTTAAATATCGCAGTGAAGAGACAGTAAACAACAAAATAGAGGGTAAAATACGAGATCAGATTCAAACATCCATGTCCTGTGAAAACCATCTATCTCCAAAATGTCAACTTTTCATAAGCTCAGAAAACTCTTTTGTCACAATGTATTTGTCGGATAATGGATAGAGGTTTTAAATAGTTTAATTGGTTTTAGAAGTAGGAGAATTTTGCCAGCCTTTAAAATAACACTTTCAATTTTCAGTTTATCTGACTGTATTAGGATTTCTGGGGTGTTGATGGTGGATAAGACACTCCTTTGATATACATATGGCAATATACAGTGAACAAAATTATAAACGCAACACTTTTGTTTTTGCCCCTATTCATCATAAGCTGAACTCAAAGATCTAAGACTTTGTCTATGTACACAAAAGGCCTATTTCTCTCAAATATTGTTCACAAATCTGTCAATCTGTGTTTGTGAGCAATTCTCCTTTGCCAAGATAATCCTTCCACCTCACAGGTGTGGCATATCAAGATGCTGTTCAGACAGCTTGGGTATTGCACACATGTGCCTTAGGCTGGCTACAATAAAAGGCCGTTAAAAGTATATTATTGGCGAAGTCGCTTTGGATCAAGCGGGAAGCTTCTGGTCAGAGACCTGAGGCGAACGCGGAGTCAAACTCAAGGCTTCCAAATGGCAGTCCACAAACCAACGGGTGACGTCACAATGACTGTCCACTTCTTATATACAGTCTATGCTTTGGATAAAAGTCAGCTAAATGAGGCTTAATTATTATTCTTAGGACTGTAATAAAAATATAACTGTCTTAAAGGAAGTTCTTTAATATAGCCTAAGTTCTTCAGTTGTGGTACCAAAAACATGGTCACTTTTACACTCAAAGCTAGACTTGAGAGTGAGTATTTGAGGCTGTTAACTGTCTCACAAGTGGTTAAATGATGCAGCAGACCCAGTCCGTCTTTAAAACAGGTCATTAGAATCTTAAACACCACTTTATACAGGCATCAAGTGAGTCCGTGCCAGACTCGACGTGTTTGTTTCTACAGTTGTGTTGAATTGATGGCGTGTCAACCAAAGCTGTTTTTGTGTTTGTGTAATGTCTCAGGTGGCTGGCAAGATGAGACATGGCCCGACGGCTGGACGGCGGTGACCAGAGACGGGAAGCGCTCGGCTCAGTTTGAACACACCCTGCTAGTAACAGAGACCGGCTGCGAGATCCTCACCCGCCGCCCGGAGGACAACGGTCGCGCTCATTTCCTGAGCCAAGTGTAGGCTGGACCTGAACGCACCAAGGACTGGACTTTCCAGACACATACAGCCACCCACCTCTGGGTCATACACACACACACGTACACACATATCACAAACACGAGGCACCACTCCTAGAGCTAAGTTCAACTGTGGCTCTCATTGTTATTTGAATTAAATATTGGTTCCTCAAATTAAATGGAAGTACTTGAATGTGTCTTATATCAAATGTGGATCTCTTTATTAGTGAAAACCTGATCATTTGAAGGAAATATGAAAGTATTTATTAGGCTTTGGTTTTGCTTAGTGGCTGGGCTTGACATCAGGCCTGCTTTGACTTCTGTGTCATGTCATGCAGGGTTTTGGCTGGCTGGCTAGTTGTTGTCTGTGGTGTGTGGAGCTCAGGGCAAATCCAACCAGTTCCCCATGCTTCTCTTCTTTTCTCTCAGCCTCTGCTAAACTTAATCAGACTTCATATGAATTTCCCAGAGATTGGACTGAAAATGATCAGCTATAGTAGAGACAAAGAAGGGAGTACCAGGAAACTGGATCAACAAGTGTCACAACCTCAAGAACTAGCAACTCAAAACTTATAGCTAAGCTAAAAAAACTCGACAACAAAAATCATCCTCCGGCAGCCATATTGGATATCTTTAGGCCTTATGAAACAGGAGCAAAGTAGCATACTAACGGTAGACGTATTTAAAGCAGATGGAGGAAATACACTTAGTTGCTTTCTTGCCCAGAGGTAAATGAGAGGATCAATGCCAATCTCACATCTGACCCTTCAGTATGTAGCTACAACCAGGAGATTGTTAGCTTAGCATAAAGACTGCTAGCTGGGGGAAACGGCTAGCCTGCCTCTATGCAAAGTTGCCTACAAAAGCTCCACAGTTATCATTGTATGTCTTGTTTATTGATTCTGTAGAAGTGAAGTGTAAATTTTTGCCATTTTTACACTTGGTAAGGATTAAACAAATGAGTTATAACATGTTAATTAGTGAGCTTTAGAGGAGCTGGTGGATTTTGTTACCTTCAGACAGAGCCAGGCTAGCTGTTTCCCCGTTTCCAGTCTTTATTCTAAGCTAGGCTGAGCTAAACTAACTGTCTTCTTCTGTAGTTTCATATGCACAGAGAATTGTAGAGCTGCAACTCTTAGCTGATTAATCGATTAGCTATCAACTATTACAGTAATCAGCAACTATTTCAATAACTGATTAATCACTTTTGAGTCTTTAAAGAAAAGATGTCCTGAAATGTGAACATTTTCTACTTTCTTTGCTCCTCTATAACAGTAAACTGAATATATTTGGGTTGTGGACAAAAGAAAACATTTGATGACGTCGCCTTGGATAACAACTAAACAATTGATCAAAATAATTGCCGATTAATCGATAATGAAAATAATTGTTATTTATGGCCTGGAAATTTGTATTAATCTCTTCATCTAACTCTCAGCAAGAAAGCAAAATTAACATATTTCCCAAAATGTTGATCTCATTTCTGTGACCGTTTCAAAAAAGGTGATCAACGCTCATTTGATTTATTGTGTCATGCCAGCCTGTTGGTCAGCTAACCACAGTACCAGGTCACTTATCACTGTCTTATGTAACTGTTGACTTGTCCAGTAGAAGCACTCTAACTCAATTGTTATCCTGAATGTGGCTATTATTAGTGCACAGTCAGTTTTTCAGTAGAGGACGTCAGCCGTGGTTGCTAGGAGAACTGTGACGCAACCACAGAGCATAGTACATAGATATCCAAAAATGGGAATAACTCCCATTGAGCACAGAGTTGTCGTTCAAGTGCTGAACTTGTTAATCCTGCTCTGAGGAATACTTAGTGTCTCATGTTTCCGATAACCCTGGTGTAGCAAATTGAGCCTTAATGTGTGAATCTAGGAAATAAAACTTGCCGAATATCTCAAGGAAGGTTAACAGGTTTCCCCTTATCTCAACAGTCATCGTTTACCTTGATGTCGGGATTTTCCTGGTGTGAGCAGCATTCATTATTTCTACATTTTCAGAGGACTTATGTGATCTCAGTTTCTCTGCCATCTTTGTATTTCTTCTAATGGAGTAATAAATTACTCTTCTGTAGCTCTGTGTGGGTGAGTTTGTCTTTGAACAGGTAATCTAAATCCCAATGTGATTATTGTGGTACCTAATGCCTTTTTAAAGTCAGTGGACTACATAATAGTTTAAAGTGCGTTTGAGACTTGATTTTTGACACTGAGTTTTCTTCAAGTTACACTAGTGTGACTATATCAGTTAACATTTACCTTCATAAAGTTACAATGAAGGTTCTCTGCTTCTATAAAGACACTATAGGTCTACAAACATGACTTCAACAGTACAAACAGCTGTTGTTCAGCAGAATTCAGTTATTCAGTAAACTCTGTAAAAATGAGCCGAGCTAACATGCTAAATTCTTGACTTTAAATACTGTCCTTGAAAGAAAGCGGAAAACAGTAACTCGCACACGCTCGGTCCTCGCAATAGAGACGCTGGTAGTTATCTGAGAATAATTAAACTAATGCAGTAAAGTGCAATCAATCATTACTTTGTGTGAATGCGGGATTTACTGTAGATTACTTCAAAGTCAGACTCATCTGTATTTTCATTTCTGCAGCATATTCGGTAAATAAAATGTTTTCAGACTTCTTGACTTCTGCATAAATTGCTTTTTTTTTTTTTTTTTTTTTTTTTTTTTTTTCTTGTTGCGGTTTGTTTAATCATGAGGAAATGATCGTAGCATGCGTAGAGATTTAGTCACTGACTGCATAATTTAATATGATAATTTTAAATGCAATAATGGTTGTGCTTAGGAAAATGTACTGCTAGGTAATGATGTATTATCTAATTTGGTACATGTTTTTAATTTGTGTGCTATGTGAGGTTTTGAGGCCTTAATTAGGATTGCAGCATTTCGGTTTTCTGCATGCTGCTCACTAAATGGAATGGAGCCACCATAATGTTAATTACATCAGTGCTTTTCCTGCTATGACAAGTCAAAATGTGTGCTTTGAAAAAGGCAGATTGAAAATCAGAATTAGTTTGAGGTTAATTAACCCCCGCAAGCTAAAAGGCCCACAGCCCTTTGAGCCGTCCATTTAAATATTGTGTCCTCCTTGTCCTTGTACAAGAATCCATTTTTCTGCCTCTCAGACATCAGACTACAGAAATACTGAGGAGGATAAATTACTTTCTGCTTCTGGCTTTACCGTGTGGAGAATGGACTGAGCTATTGGGAAACATGGCCATGGACATGTGTTGCCTAACTAAGTATGGCATAGCTGAGCACAAGGCGTCCCTGTAATTCTCACAAGTCATTTACAGTTTGAGTCAACATTTTGGAAATGAAAGTGCATCACCCAAGCTTGGAGGGACACATGCATTTACAGTGAAAAGTAATGAAACGGTATAAAACCAGCCTTGTAGTCTCATCCTACAGGGAGAATAATCCAGGAAAGTTGTGCAATTTTTCAAGCAAGCTACTTTTACTTTCTGTGTTGTCTTCAACACCCTTTTCCACAACTTCATCAGGCCTTGATGTCCATGCTGCTGTTTAAAAGAACCACTCAAATATCCTTTGCAGTTAACAAACTTCCAGCACTGATGTTGTTTCGTTGTTTGGGGTTGCACTACCTTATTATTCAGTCAGTCAAGATCAAAGAACATTTCTGAATAATCCTTTTCGGTTCTTCTGTTTTTCATTCACACAATGTTCTTGCTGTTCCTTCAGGGGGGAAAACACTGATCAAAGAGGTGTCTTGACTGCATTGTTCAAATAAAACTGACTTGGATAGGGATTTGAAAGATTATTTATTAAACTGAGCAGGGTAAACATGGAGTGAGATCATGTTTTTTTTGTGCTCCTCTGCATCTAGAACTGAATGCTGAAAGATGAAAACGCAATTTGATTGTGGATATCAGATTATACATTACTGACTGAATTGGAATTCATATTTGAAGAAAGGCCCCTCATGGTGGAGATTATTATAACATCCTTTCTCACACATCTCTTCTTGTGCAAGTACTCTTCCACCGGTTTGGAGCACTGTCGACACTCTTGTATCCTGGGAAAAGTGTAGATTAAGTAGAGGAAAGTAGTGAAAAAAATAGCTTTTGTCTATTATGTAGCAGAAGGGAGTTACAGTTCACTCTATAACCTGTTATATTGTGACAAAATAAACATACCTACCTATGTGCATTTCATTAAGTAGCTGTGCAACGTTTTGTTTTTTCCCGAGGGTAGCTGTCTTCCCTGCCAAAGTGATCAGTCATTAAAATGAGAAACTATCTCAAATTAATGGTGGGAAATGGGCTTCAATTGTTCCCTCACTTCAGATCAGAAAAAGTGATAGATGTTAATGTGAGGAGAACTATTTGTCAGTGTAAAAAGAGCCCTAAATACTTTAATTTTACAACAGAGACTCATTTTTTAAAGGGTAAGATGTATGTACATGTGAAAAAGTAAAGATATCCAGGTCACACAAGTTACACAACTGAGTTTCCACAAAAGTTAAACACTGAAGAAGAATTGTGCTAAATGTACACCTACACATTTCTTTTTCAGTACAACTGCTTGTGTAACAACCTGGCTTCAGTTCAGAGTCAAAAAGCATTCTCTGTAGAAAATGAATGATTAGTGTGCTCCTTATGTGCCCCTGTATATGAGAGCTGGGTTCTGGGTTTGTTACTGTATCAGTAGGTTTCTACGTAAGTGTGATGCATTCACTCGTGAGAAAATTTTTTACTCGTAACCCTAACCCCCAATTAACGAGATAATAATCTCAGAATTACAAGATAAGTATGTGCACTCTCCGGCCACTTTATTAGGTACACCTTGCTAGTACCACGTTGGAGCCGCTTTTGCCTTCAGAACTGCCTTAATTCTTCGTGGCATACTTTCAACAAGGTGTTGCAATCATTCCTCACTTTGGTCCATATCGACACAATAGCATCACTCAGTTGCTGCAGATTTGTTGGCTGCACATCCATGATGCCAATCTCCCGTTTCACCACATCCCATAGGCGCTCTACTGGATTAAGATCTGGTGACTGTGGAGGCCACTGGAGTTCAGTGAACTCATTGTCATGTTCAAGAAACCAGTTTGAGATGATTTGAGCTTTGTGACATGGTGCATTATCCTGCTGGAAGTAGCCATCAGAAGATGGGTACACTGTGGTCATAAAGGGATGGTCATGGAGATGGACATGGTCAGCAACAATGCTCAGTTAGGCCGCACTTAAATGATGCTCAGTTGTTACCAAGGGGCCCAAAGTGTGCCAAGAAAATACCCCACACCATTACACCGCCACCACCAGCCTGAACAGTTGATACAAGGCAGGATGGATCCATGCTTTCATGTTGTTTACACCAAATTCTGACCCCACCATCTGAATGTTGCAGCTGAAATCGAGACTCATCAGACCAGGCAACGTTTTTCCAGTCTTCTGTTGTCCAGTTATGGTGAGCCTGTGTGAATCGTAGCCTCAGTTTCCTGTTCTTAGCTAACAGGAGTGTCACCCGTTTTCTGCTGCTGTAGCCCATCTGCTTCAAGGTTCAACGTGTTGTGTGCGTTCAGAGATGGTGTTCTGCATACCTTGGTTGTAACAGGTGGTTATCTGAGTTACAGTTACCTTTCTGTCATCTTGAACCAGTCTGTCCATTCTCTTCTGACCTCTGACATTAACAAGGCATTCTGGTGCACACAACTGCCGCTCACTGGATATTTTCTCTTTTTCTCAACAACCATGCTACATTACAAGTCACTTAAAGCCCCTTTCTTTCCCATTCTGATGCTCGGTTTGAACTTCAGTAAGTTGTCTTGACCACATCTACACGCCTAAATGCATTGAGTTGCTGCCATGTGATTGGCTGATTAGCTGTGTGTGTGTGTGTGTGTGTGTGTGTGTGTGTGTGTGCATAACTGTGTGTGCCAAAAGCCCAAGGCCCCAGACCCCCGATCCAGAGCGTACATCTGGACATGATACATGTACCACAGAAATTCAATACAATTCAATTTAGGTGAAACTTTGGCCAGAGGCTGCTCTTTAAGGGGTGCTAGCATGCCAATTTGCCACACCCATGTGCGAGACATATTAAATAAGTAATTTTAAAATTAAATAAAATGCAATTCATTTGCAGAAAAAAAAATCCTTCATTTCCAATAGGGTCGTTAGGGTTAATAGGGTTTTTCTACTCAGGCCCTAATAAAACACAATACTCCAATATCTGGATTTTTGTCTTATTGGAAATGGGTCGAGGTTTAGTGTGTAATATTCACAAATAAAAGGTACTGTGTTATTAGACAAAATCATGGCATTACCTATTTGAAAATGACTTAATTGCAAAAACAATACATTCCCAAAACATTAACACATTATTGATGGCATGCTACTACAACATTGGCCAAGTTATTACAGTATTGGGAAATAATTACATTATCAGCTTCTGCAAAAATAGCGTTAACCCAGTAATGTAATAACCTCCTGTTGTGGGAGGAAAAGACTCTCAGACTGGGCCAGAGGCCTAACGGGCCCTCACTCTCACACTTTTTACTTGGATGTACTCTATAACTTAGACATGATGAACTGTTGTCCTTTCGATGTAAATGGTATTCTTTTCAATGAGACACAGATAAAGTTCAAAGTAACTCAAGTTTAGTGATAATTTCGAGCAAATAAACAAATACAACAAATACATGTACAGTGAGGAAAATAAGTATTTGAACACCCTGCTATTTTGCAAGTTCTCCCACTTAGAAATCATGGACGGGTCTGAAATTGTCATTGTAGGTGCATGTCCACTGTGAGAGACATAATCTAAAAAAAAAAAATCCAGAAATCACAATGGATGATTTTTTAACTATTTATTTGTATGATACAGCTGCAAATAAATATTTGAACACCTGTCTATCAGCTAGAATTGTGACTCTCAAAGACATGTTAGTCTGCCTTCAAAATGTCCACCTGCACTCCATTTATTATCCTAAATTAGATGCACCTGTTTGAGGTCGTTAGCTGCATAAAGACACCTGTCCACCCCATACAATCAGTAAGAATCCAACTACTAACATGGCCAAGACCAAAGAGCTGTCCAAAGACACTAGAGACAAAATTGTACACCTCCACAAGGCTGGAAAGGGCTACGGGGAAATTGCCAAGCAGCTTGGTGAAAAAAGGTCCACTGTTGGAGCAATCATTAGAAAATGGAAGAAGCTAAACATGACTGTCAATCTCCCTCGGACTGGGGCTCCATGCAAGATCTCACCTCGTGGGGTCTCAATGATCCTAAGAAAGGTGAGAAATCAGCCCAGAACTACACGGGAGGAGCTGGTCAATGACCTGAAAAGAGCTGGGACCACCGTTTCCAAGGTTACTGTTGGTAATACACTAAGACGTCATGGTTTGAAATCACGCATGGCACGGAAGGTTCCCCTGCTTAAACCAGCACATGTCAAGGCCCGTCTCCAGTTTGCCAGTGACCATTTGGATGATACAGAGGAGTCATGGGAGAAAGTCATGTGGTCAGATGAGACCAAAATAGAACTTTTTGGTCATAATTCCACTAACCGTGTTTGGAGGAAGAAGAATGATGAGTACCATCCCAAGAACACCATCCCTACTGTGAAGCATGGGGGTGGTAGCATCATGCTTTGG